GAATAGAAGAGAAAGAACTGGAGAAGATAACAAAATACAAAGACCTACAAATAGAAATAGAAAGACTGTGGCAAAAGCAAGCAAGAGTAGTACCAATAGTAATAGGCTCCTTAGGTGCAATCCCCAAAACAACTGGAGCACCACTTGAACACCATTGGCATTGACAAATTCGCTATTAGTCAATTGCAAAAGGCGGCCTTATTAGGAACTGCTTCCATCCTGCGACGATACCTGTAATACCATCAAACATCCACATTTGTCTATCCCAGGTCCTGGGTAAGGACTCGATAGGTAGACAAAATGCCAAATCCAGTCTGAACATCTGGCTGACTGTGCGATGAATGATAATCATAATAATAATAATAATAATAATAATAATAATAATAATAATAATAATAATAATCCCCCAGTGAGGCACTACCTTGACGTGGTTTTGGGGCTTGTGTACTCTGAGGAAGATGAGAGCTATGCCAGAGGTTCAACCATACTGGACAGGTCTCATCAGAGGAGTCAGACAAAGAGTGTCTCTCCATAAAAAATATGGTGAGACGTAAATTTCAGAATGCCATACTGGCTCGGATATCGCCTGGGTTAACAAGGTCCACGCTAGATATTGGAGTTCCTGGATATCTGGTGAAAAATGGGTTACAGGACTCAGGACTGTTGGCTGAGCAACCAGGGCCAGCAGCTGCAGAACTACTGGAAGAAAAGATGTTTACCCGTCGCAGATACACAGTGATGGAAACAAAGAACACCATAATGATCTGCTTACTACAGATTCAAGGCAACAAGAAGAGGATATCTAAAACGAATGCACCAGTTCTGGAAAGAACAACATCCAGAATCAGAAATAAACAGAACAGAGACTAGCAGATCAAAAAAAAACAAAACGCCTGATGTATAACACGAAATAAAGTATTTCACAGAACCCAGAATTGGACGCACTGCCCCCCCAAGTTTTTACCAGAGCAAAGAAACAATAGCCTTACAAGAAGTATTCCAGAATGTAGAGGCAAACCAGGGGAGTTGGCAGTGAAAGAATCCAGTAGAGATATACAACTGTTCTCATTTGGAAACCAGGCACCTCTTCCTCAGGAAGAACAAAACCCTCTAACTAAAGAAATAAAAGAATTGAAACAAAGAATAATTGAGCATCTAGAACAGCACAAAAACAACAGAATAAGGCTGCCTGCATTGAAGCTGGTTCCAAAGAAACAGCTAGCACAAGCATTAAAAGATGCAAATACTGCAATAGCAAGTATAAGCACCAATTCACTGCAAGAAACAAACCAACTAATGTACAGCACAGCTGCAGTTATAACAGAATACCTGGGATGTAAAATCAACAAAAAGAAAAACAAACAAACAGTGCACCACAAAAATGGAAGGTTAGACTAGAAAATAAGATCAGCAAGTTAAGATCACATGCAAGCAAGCTAGAACAGATGAAAGAAAAGAAGATGAAGAACAAGAAGACCAAAGAATACCTAATCAAGAAATACCACTTAGAAACAAGGAAGATTAAGGAAGCACTGGAAATAATAAAGCAACAAATAACAGCTATAGCCAGGAAAATCAGTAGATGTGAAGCTCGAATTGCAAACTATAGGCAGAACCTCCAATTTCAATCCAATCAGAAACGTTTCTACCAATCATCAATGGAGAAACTGCAAGGAATCAGTCAGTACCTGACAAGGAAGAAACAGTGCAGTTCTGGAAGCAGATATGGGATAACCCAAAGAAATACAACAAGGATGCGGCTTGGTTAAAAGAGGTGGATGCAAATAAAAAAGAAGTTGAAATGAAAGAACTAGTAATAACAACAAAAATGGTAGAAAAAAGAGCAAAAAAAAATCAAAAATTGGTCAGCACCAGGTGAAGATGAACTGCATGGGTTTTGGTTGAAACATCTAACTGTTATACACCCACTCATTGCCAAACAATTCAACAATATACTACAAGGAGGAGAAATTGAAAAGTGGCTAACAACTGGGAAAACCTACCTAATAATGAAAAATCCAGCAAAAGGGACAACACCAGGTAACTACAGGCCAATTACCTGCTTACCAACAACTTTCAAATTACTAACTGGTGTGGTAGCTGATGCAGTACAACAGCATCTAGTTGAAAACAATCTCTTTCCACCTGAGCAGAACGGAAACCGCCCCAATAGCAGAGGACCAAAAGATCAACTCCTAATAGACAAAATGATCTGGAAAACTGCAAGAGAAGGAAGACCAACACCTGAATTGTGGCATGGATTGACTTACAAAAAGGCATTTTGACTCTTTGCCACATGATTGGATAATTAAAGTGCCTAGAAATAACAGGAGTCGTAGAAACATCAGAAAATTTGTGCAAGATCGAGGCACAATGGAAGACACAGTTGCAGATCAAGGAGTGAGGAGGCTGGGAGAGGTTCTATCAAGAGAGGAATATTCAGGAGATTCATTATCACCATTTACTATTGTTATTGCACTGTTTCCTCTGTCAACAATACTGAATAACTCAGGACATGGCTATCAAACATCAAAAACATCCGCCAGACTATCCCACCTACTTATATGGATGATCTGAAGCGTATGGAAAAACATCATCTGAAATAGAATCGCTGCTCAACACTGTCCGTATATATAGCCAAGATATTGTAATGGAGTTTGGCTTGGACAAATGTGCCACACTTACTATCAAACAAGAAAAATAATGAAAACTGAAGGAATCAAGATGCCCCACGAAAATAACATTAAGAGTCTGGATGAGGAAGAGTACTACAAATACTTGGGTATCCTTCAAGCTGACAACATCAAGCACACTGAAGTCAAGAAAAAGATTAGAGGTGAATACATCAAGAGAGTGAAGAATATCTTAAAATCCAAACTCAATGGAGGAAATACCATAAAGGCAATCAACACCTGGGCAATCCCAGTCATTAGGTACACAGCTGGAATAGTGGAATGGACTCAAGCAGAACTAAAAGCAATGGATAGGAAGACCAGAAAAATAATGACAATGAATCACGCCCTTCATCCACGCAGTGACATTGATAGACTTTATCTACCAAGGCAAATAGGTGGGCGTGGAATGCTACACGTACATCAGATGGTTGAAGAAGAAAAAAATGGCTTTGGAAGAATATCTGAAGAACAATGATGAAGATGCACTGAAATTAGTATATCAGGAAGGCTTACTAACTACTGGGGAGACCAAACTGGCCTACAAGAAAGACCAAATGAAGAACAGAATAGAGGCATGGGAAGACAAAGCACTACATGGCCCATACATGAAAAAAATAGCTCGGGAAAGCAGATACAATACAATCTGGCAATGGCCTAAGAGCAGGAAAATGAAGAAGAGACCGAGAGACTAATTCGGCTGCACAAGACCAAGCCTTAAGAACAAAGCATACAAAGTCAAAATGAGAAGGACAGCAACAGACAGAAGTGCCGCCTATGCAAAAGAAAGCTGAAGAAAAACAGTGGACCAATGGTACCTTGTTGCAAGAAGATTGCACAAACTGATTACAAGCAGCCGCATGACAAAGTAGCAACAATGGTGCATGGAAGATCTGCAAAAAATATCATTTGCCTGTAAGCAAAAACTGGTGGGATCATAAAATAGAGAAAGTCATAGAAAATGATAAAATTAAACTGCTCTGGGACTTCAGAATTCAAACAGACAAGCACCTGCAACATAACACCCCAGACTTAACAATTGTCGATAAGAAAGACAAAAAAGTCTGGATAGTGGATGTGGCAGTGCCTGAAGATAGCAGAATAGAAGAGAAAAAACTGGAGAAGATAACAAAATACAAAGACCTACAAATAGAAAATAGAAAGACTGTGGCAAAAGCAAGCAAGGTTAGTACCAATAGTCATAGGTTCCTTGGGTGCAATCCCAAAACAACTGGAGCACCACTTGAACACCATTGGCATTGACAAATTCGCTATTAGTCAATTGCAAAAGCAGCCTATTAGGAACTGCTTCCATCCTGCGACGATATCTGTACTACCATCAAACATCCACATCTGCCTATCCCAGGTCCTGGGTAAGGACTCGATAGGTAGACAAAATGCCAAATCCAGTCTGAACATCTGGCTGACTGTGCGATGATCGATAATAATAATAATAATAATGTTGGAAGGGACTTTGGAGGTCATCTAGTCCAACCCCCCTGCTCAGGCAAGAAACCCTATACCATTTCAGACAAATGGCTGTCCAGTCTCTTCTTGAAAACTTGCAGTGTTGGAGCATTCACCACTTCTGGAGGCAGGTTGTTCCACTGGTTAATTGTTCTCACTGTCAGGAAGTTTCTCCTTAGTTCTAGGTTGCTTCTCTCTTTGGTTAGTTTCTACCCAATGCTTCTTGTCCTGCTTTCTTCAGGGGCTTTGGAGAATAGCTTGACTCCCTCTTCTTTGGGGCAGCCCCTGAGATATTGGAACTCTGCTATCATGTCCCCCCTCGTCCTTCTCTTCGTTAAACTAGACAGATCCAATTCTAGCAACCGTTCCTTATGTTTTAGCCTCCAGTCCCCTAATCATCTTTGTTGCTCTTCTCTGCACTCTTTCTAGAGTCTCAGCATCTTTTTTACATCGTGATGACCAAAACTGGATGCAGTATTCCAAATGTGGCCTTATCAAGGCCTTGTAAAGTGGTATTAACCCTTCACGTGATCTTGATTCTATCCCTCTGTTAATGCAGCCTAGCACTGTGTTGGCCTTTTTGGCAGCTGCTGCATACGGCTGGCTCCTATTTAGGTGATTGTCCACTAGGACTCCGAGGTCCCTCTCACAGTTACTACTATTGACGGGGAACGACCCGTCTCTCTAGCTTTCCCACCTGCCCCAAAAGGGAGACCCCATCTTGCCAAACCGGGGCTACTAAGGGGGGGGATCCTGCGCCCTCCTGCCCCCCTGCCTGCCACTCCTGGGGGCTGTTTCCCAGCGAGGCCCCCCCCAGCACCCGGGGCACAGAGGCTGGCTTTGCTGCCAATGGGGCCCCACCTGGCTTGGCCATGCTTTTCCGGACAGCCACGGGATCCTTTCTTTTCCACTTCTGGAGCTCCTCCTGCATCTTGTCAATCTTGGCCGGGTTGAGGGCCCACAGGCAGCCCTTCCGCGAGGAGCTGCCCATCTTGTTCTCCACTTTCTCAAAGCATTTGTTCAGGGACAGGTTGTGCCGGACCGAGTTTTTCCAACCATCGGGAGCCGTCTAGACAGCGACAAACACAGGAAACACAGCAGTTCAGACGGCTGCAATTTTGAGGGAGAGTTGGCCTAGGCCAGGGGTCTTCCAACTGGGTCCTTGGGTGACTTGTGGACTTCAACTCCCAGAATTCCTCAGCCAGGAGGCTTTATGACAGGGGTCGTCCAACGTGGCCCTTGGATGACTGGTGGACTTCAACTCCCAGAATTCCTTGGCCAGCGTGCCTGGCTGAGGAATTCTGGGAGTTGAAGTCCACAAGTCATCAAAGGGCCACGTTGGAAGACCCCTGGACTAGGGATTCAATAGTGAAGGCACCAGGCTAGAAATCAGGTGGTTGTGAGTTCTAGCCCTGCCCTGGGCATGAGAACCAGTTGGGTGACTTTAGGCTGGTCACCCTCCCTTTCCTTGTCTTCAGTTTCTTTTTTTAAAAAAAATGTATTTAATTTTATTCATTTATAACAGTGGTTCTCAACCTGTGGGTCGGGACCCCATTTGGGGTCGAACGACCATTTCACGGGGGTCACCAAACAATGTAGTCCGTCATTTTCCCCCCTTTTCCTTAGCTGTGCTACTCCCTTTTATTCTATTGGCTTTTGAAAGCCAATAGAATAGACTCTCTTGAATAGAGTCTAATTCTATTGGCTTTCAAAAGCCAATAGGAATTGTCCAGGCTGTCTCGGCCCTGCTGAGCCCGCCAAAAGTCCCAGTCTGCAAACGGTGCTGCACCCGTTGAGTAGTCCTCGACTTACAACCGGTTGGGGGTCACGGCATTAAAAAGGTTGAGAACCACTGTTCTAGACAAATGGCTGTCCAATCTCTTAAAAGCCTCCAGCGATGGTGCACCCACAACTTCTGGTGGCAAGTAGTTCCACTGGTAAACTGGAACTGCTGGGTCTTTCGGTTTACTTAGGCGGCTTTGGAGGGCTTTGTCGCTACGGTGATGCTGTGTGTGGCTGCTCTGTTGGTTGTTTCTGAGATATTTTTGATGTGTGGCAGTTTGTGTTGATTGTGCTGCGGTGGGCTGAGTAGTCAGGCGCCTTTTGATAAAGTTGTTTTTCTTGGTCTCTTTCCTTTTCTTGATGTTCAGGGTTGCTGACCTGTGTTTGTGTTCATCGAAACAGGGTCATCTAGTCCAGCCCCCATCTCAGATTGGACCCATCTCTTAGTATAGGGGTCCCCAACCCTTGGCTATTTTATGACTTGTGGATTTCAACTCCCAGAATTCCTGAGCCAGCATGGGAGTTGGCTCAGTTTGGAAACCACTCCCCCTTCCCTCAGCATGGCTGGCTCAGGAATTCTGGGAGTTGAAGTCCACCAGTCATGAAGGGGCCGTAGTTCCCCCATGCTGGCTCAGGAATTCTGGGAGTTGAAGTCCACAAGTCATAAAGTGGCCAAGGTTGGGGACCCCTGTGTTAGTATATTGTCGCTGTGTCTATAAAAGAGTATTCGCTAGTTGGGTTTAAGAGTTGGGGTTTCAGGACCCCTGGCCTTTAAGGCGCCCTGTTCATTGATTCATCAACAGGCCCCACCATGCAAGCTTCTATCTCGTCACCTGATGGGTTTCGGTCTCAGATTTCTGCACTTATGACTTATTCTTATTGTGAGATAAAAAAAGCCACAGGGACAAACTGTATCAACAACAGCCTCAGCACCGTCAGTTCTACGGGGCGAGCATTTTCAGGTCCTAAATGATGCAGACAGGGGTATCTTTGGGAGTAGCAGAATGTGCCTCTGCTGTTTCTAGAAGCATCTTGGAAGGGAGTCCAGAACAGGGGGAGGGGGAGGGGGAGGAGGAAGAGGAAGAGGAGGAGAAGGAGGAGGAGGATGTGGAGGAGGAGGAAGAGGAGAACTGCTGTGGAATCCTTTGTGCTCTCTGAGCTGGGTGGTTTTCTTGCAGACATTTCATTACCCAACTAGGTAACATCATCAGCACTAGAAGGTTTGTGGAGAGGAGGAGGAGGGGGGGGAGGAGGAGGAGGAGGAGGAGGAGGAGGAAGAGGAGGAGGAGGAGGAGGAGGAGAAGAACTGTGGTCTCTGAGCTTGGTGGTTTTCTTCCAGACATTTCATTACCCAACTAGGTAACATCATCATTATGTTATAAATCAGTGGTTCTCAACCTTTTTAATGCCGTGAGCCCCAACCGGTTGTAAGTCGAGGACTACTCGACTGGTGCAGCACCGTTTGCAGAATGGGGCTTTTGGCCCCATAGAATAAAAGGGAGTAGCACAGCTAAGGAAAAGGGGGGAAAAAATGGCGGGCTGCGTTGTTTGGCAACCCCCGTGAAATGGTTGTTCGACCCCAAATGGGGTCCTGACCCACAGGTTGAGAACCACTGGTCTAGAATGGAACAGGGTCTCCTGCTTGAGCAAGGGGTTGGACTAGATGACCTCCAAGGTCCCTTCCAACTCTGGTATTCTGTTATAAATCACATCCATGAACACCAACTAGAAATCTGAAGATGGGGCAAAAACTCAATTTCACAATACACGGACAGATTTAATCGGAGGGAAATACTGTCCATTTTGGAGCAAGCTAAGTCCAAAACCAGCAGAGAATTCCTGGAAGCCTGGCAAGCCGGCCATCCACAGGCACGCAGAGATAAACAACATTTACATGCCATTCCAGAGACTCAAAAAGGAAAGCAAAGGACCAAAATACATCCTCATCTGTGATCAAGACCCAGATAAGCAGAGATCAACAGAAAGATTAACACTGACTAGATCAAACATCAAGAAGTAAGCAACACCCCAGTCAAGGAACTACCAAACTCAGACAAACAAGCTAACAGTAAACAACAGCCTACTCAAGGAACCACCAAGAATACTCCCGCCAGCACTTGCATGTAAACGGAGAGCAACCTCCCTCCCCTTCTTGCACCGGTGATGTTATCTAGTTTGGTTATGAAATGTCTGCAAGAAAACCACCAAGCTCAGAGAGCACAAAGGATTCCACAGCAGTTCTCCTCTGTCTCTTCCCATCTCCTCCTCTTCCTCTTCCCTTCCTCTTCTTCCTCTTCCTCCTCCTCTTCCTCCTTCTCCCCCTCTTCCTCCTCCTTCCTTCATCCCCCTCCCTTCTAGCATTGAAGATGTTACCTAGTTGGGTAATGAAACGTCTCCAAGAAAACCACCCAGCTAAGAGAACACCAAGGACCCCACAGTCTTCCTCCCCCTGCTCTTCCTCCTCCTTCCCCTCCTCCTCCTCCTTCTGTCACCTCCCTCCCTTCCAGCATTGAAGATGTTACCTAGTTGGGTAATGAAACGTCTCCAAGAAAACCACCCAGCTCAGAGAATACCAAGGACCCCACAGTCCTTCTTCCTCCTCCTCCCCCTCCTCCTCCTCCCCTCCCCCTCCTCTTCCTCTTCCTCTTCCTCCTCCTCCTTGCCAACCCTACTCTCTTCTATCACTGACAATGTTCCCTAGTTGGGTCACAAAACTTCTGCAAGGATACCTCCCAGCTCAGAGAGCACCAAGGACCCCACAATCTTCTTCTTCCTCCTCTTCCTCCTCCCCCTCCTCCCCCTGCTCCTCCTCTTGCTCTTCCTTCTCCTCCTCCTCTCCCCCCCCCCCGCCAACCCCACCATCAGCCATGATGTCCCCTAGTTTTGTCAGGAAACCTCTGCAAGGGATCCTCTCTTCTCCCAGCGCCTGGGGGGGATCTGTGGCTGTCAAAGTGGGAGGGGGCCTTGGACGGGCTCCGGGCGCAGACTCGGGCCCCGTGGCCCTGACCGTTGGGGGCCAGGCTCCCTCCTGCCCCATAGGCAGCGGCAGGCCTTCCAGATCAGCCGGGGAGACGGGGGGGGGGATGCCGGTGCCCTCCGCTGGAGGCTCGCCAGACGCCCAGATGCTGGCGCGGCCCCGGGGTCTCCCGCACCCGGGGGGGGGGTGGGACCCCTTTCACGGGCGATGCGGGGATGTCAGCCAGGGACGTGGAGCTGCCGCGGTTCTCCGCCTGGGCGGAGCGGCTGCCGGCGGCGCTGAGCTCAGGAAACTCCGTTTGTTTCCAGGCGCAGAAGCTCCCCGCCCGCCGCCAACGGCTGCCAAAGGCTGGCGCAGCAGATCGGATCACCTTGGGAAGCGGATCCTGCCTGCCGGCCGAAAGCGGGGAGGCTGTTTTCCTGCTGGAAAAGGTGCGCCGGTCCTTCCCCCCCCCCCCCGGGCTGAACGTGCGTTTTCTTCCCGGTTGGTGAGAGGCGCAGAGGCGCCCCTGCCCTCCCCCCGGGCGGAGCTGTCGACGGGGAAGCGCCGCTTAGGCCAGTGTTTCTCAATCTTGACCATTTGAAGGCATGTGGACTTCAACTCCCAGAATTCCACAGCCAGCAACGCTGGCTGTGGAATTCTGGGAGTTGAAGTCCACATGCCTTCAAATGGTCAAGGTTGAGAAACACTGCCTTAGGCAGAGCGGAGACAGGAGCCCCGCCCGCGACGACACAGAACAGGTGCCAGGAAGGTGCAAGGAAGGCCGGCTCCATTAGCTCCGGAAAAGTCCGGGACTCCTCGGCTTACGACCACATCCAAGCCCCCCGCCAAGCTTCTGTCGCTAAGTGAGGCCGTCGTTCAGTGCCTTTGGCCCCGCTTTGCGACCGCGTTAGGGGAATCCTTGCAGCTGTTAAGGTAGTCACACCCTCCTGAAGGGAATTTGGCTTCCCACCTTGACTTTGCTTGGCAGAAGGTCGCAAAAGGGATCGTGTGACCCTCCCCCCCTCCCAGGGATGCTGCGACCGTCGTAAATATGAGCCGGTTGCCGAGCGTCTGGATTTTGATGACATAACCGTGGGGATGCTGCGATGGTCATTACATGTGAAAAATGTTCATAACCCCCATTTTTCAGTACCGTTGTTACTTTGAATGGTCACTAAATGAATAAAGTGAAGGAATGCCTGTACTGGAATGTCTGAAATGGTAAATAGGATTTCCTGCCTGAGCAGGGGGTTGAACTAGATGATCTCCAAGGTCCCTTCCAACTTTATTATGGATCATCGCACAGTCAGCCAGATGTTCAGGCTGGA